TTTTCTCGACAGCTTAGAGGGGATATCCTTGTCATCACCATCATCATCGCTGTGTAGTGCATTCTCTTTTCTAGAAGTCTTAGTGTTGCTCATGCCATCTTTGCTGTCCTCGTCACTATTCAGTGTGTTCTTGCACTTTTCACACAGTACCTGCCGTGGCCGAAGACGGATAGTGCTCATGGTCATGCGGCCAGGCTCTCGCGTCCGCCTCTTCTTTCTCTTGATTGGTCGCGGAGGGGGCTGAGGTACCCATTGGCTGTAGCTGTGGCGCACCCATAAGGGCTGAGGGAAGGGGGCTCCTTCAAAATAAGGAGGGTAAGGAGTCTGTCCAGCTGGCACTGGTGTGGGTACAGGGCAGGGGAGAGGTGCAGTAGGTATGCTGCTTTCTGGGAGGGTGTTTTCATCCTTTGGTCTGTGTGAAGCCTGGCTGGGAGATTTGGAAACCGGCTCCTCACTTAGAACTTCTGGGATTTCACAAGCCGGTGTAGGTATTGGGCACTCCCCGGGTTTTGCTGTGAATTCTGGTAGACAGAATAGCCCAGTCCTAAGATGAAGAGAAGAGAAGAAAAAAAGAAACAGTAAATGAATAACTGTGCGTCTCATTGAGATTCATCAGAGTGCAGTGACGTTCATGCAAGCCAACACAAACATTCTTGTTACACATGACAAGCATTTCTTGAATTTTTTAGTTAAGCAATTTCATCCACAAGAACAACATTGTAATGCCATGCTTGTATTTCACCATGTCAGATGACTAAAAGGGATAGTTTGGATTTTTTGAAGTGGGGTGGTATGATGTACTGATCCATAGGCAGTACATACAGTAGACCCCCCCAGGAGAAGTGGCAGGAGTACCACCACAGAAGCTAAGCAATGTACTGCTGTGAACTGGGGGGCAGCAGCAAACAAATTTAAGCCATCTAAAAAAACAAACTAAAAAAAAAAACAATATAAGATTAAGTGACCACTATATTTAGAAAATGTTCCTTTACCTTGTCAGACAGCCTTTTCCGACAGGGAACTAAAGCTGTTATCTATGCTGTCTTCAAAGCCACCAGACCCCTTTAACAAAAACAGTAATTTTACCTTTTATAACACACGAGGTGCTACTGCTGCCTTGCTCAGTTACTGTTATGTGTGGTTTGTGCTCACTGTAATGTCCCCAGAGCGTGCTTCATGTGTCAAAAGGACATATTCACACCTTTAGCATTGAGCGCAAAGGCTTCGAAAATTGTCATGGCGCTTAGTTGTACACCTCAGAATTTTTGGAACAAGGCACCCACTGTGTGTGCTGCGCTTTTCAGTTCAACAGGGACGCCTGTGAGGCAAGACTGGCTGAGCAGGTTCACCGGTAGAGACATCTGACTCTTCATTGTGAGACCACTGGGATATTTAAATGGCATTAAATTATTGGAAAGAAAGTGGCTTTTTGCTGCAGGGTGTGGGAGAACATGAGGGATGGCTGTAAAAGCTAAAAAATGCCATAATGGAAACAGTGGCAACCCAGGAGGTACAAAGCAGTATAATATAATTTTGACTTTGTCATAAGCAGCAGTTAGTTACAGTACACAAATGTGATGACTGGCGGTACGTCTGGGTTTACTACTGTTGCCAGGCAGCCTGCTTTTCCATTATATTCTTCTTTTTCATTCTTCTGATAACACTAGTTGACTTTTGTGGCTAAAACACATTTTGCCTCTGCCACTGTCCACAGCAGTGCATTGCTTAGCTTCCTTGGATTTAGTCCTGCCTGCTTCTCCAAACTGGGAAATTGGCAATGACCATCTACTGAAAATAATACACTAAATATGGATAAGTACCTCAAACAACCCCACGTAAAAGAATTCAAACTATCCCTTTAAGGCTAGTGGGAGAGCACAAATCAAATACCTTGCTGTTTCAATTAAGCCAAAAGAAAAAAAAAAGAGCACCCAAAGCTGCTCAAAGCTTTCCAACGAAGTGGCCTACAAAAAGCTATAAATAAGAAAACCTATTTCACCATTTTGTCTTACTTTGACTGGACACACTGACAAAACTCTCCATATCACCTGTATGCTGAAAATCCTTTACGTGTGGGGGTTGGGGTTCACAAGCAGCCAGGCGCTTATCCGTCCTACTGCCTTTAGGCCACAAAAATGAAGCAATAGTATCACTGACTCTCTCAGTGAATTCATGTGGTCTTTTCGGGGCTCTAGGACCAGCGAACATGTCCAAAGAAGGCCCAACTGCCAAGGAGTCTTTGAGAGGTGGCTGGCAGGCAACAGTAACATGGCTGTGCTGCTTTAGTCAGGAGACAGCAGACAAAGAGACTACAGGATGCCCAGGAACCCCCCCTCCCCAACATCTGACTGAACAAAAACAATCCCATGAATCACTCGGGATTCAGAGATGTAGGGAAGGAGCCAGGAGATTTCAGTTTGTTTTTGCATCCGTGTCTATATGGGGGCTTATGTGTGGTGAGATTATTAATTAGTGCACATTTGGGGAGCCCATTTTCCTCCCCAGGAGAAGCAACTGGCAGGCACCTCCGAATAATAGTCTCTCGTTGTGGTTTGTTCCTCTCACCTTTTTATATGTGCCCTAAAGCAGCTGAATATTAGCCTTCACAGTGATTGACACGGCACAAACAGGGCTGCCGGTGACAGGGAACAGGCAGTGCTAGCAGTTAAGCACAGTACAAGGACGCAGCATATGACCAGCCATGATTCACAGCACTGTTGCCATTTCACGTTGTGTACAGTGAAACTAGATGCAGAGATCTGGCTGAATGATAGGCCTAGACGATGACATTTAAAAAAAAAAAAAATGTGGGAAACAATGACAGGAAATGTAATTCCATGAGCTGAAAAGGAAGAAGAAGTCAAATTTTGTCAGTGACAAGGCCTGAAATATAGGCCTATTTTAAGTTATTCCAAGGCCTGCCTTTTCCCATTTGGGTGGGTTATTTTCAGGACAGCTTGAGCTCTCACATGAAAAACCATCTAAGCATACTAAGGGGCAAAGCTAGTCAGATTGTGATTCTACTGCTCTATAAATAGTCTAAAGCCAGTGGCTTTTAAGGTGCACAGCACCAGGAGCAACACAAGGCTAATACATGTGACACTGGCAGATAAGACATGACACTGATACATGTCAAATTCTACCTTTGAGATTGTCTCATTTGAACAGGACTGTGTTGTTAACTGGCAACAGTGGGCCTTCTCTTGTCAAACACAAAACCTAAGATGGTCACTGGATCTTATCAGAACCAGGTTTGAAGAAAAAGCATTACAGTTGTGATTCATCAAACCCCACATGTATCTTTATTGCCATTTTCCATTGTTTATGCAGATCAAAAGTCACTGCTTATGAAGTGCCATCCCTCAAAACAGCAACTGTATTCCAGATTATTTGAATTGAAACATCACTCCAGAAAACTAGTACACAATACAGTGCTATCTGTATGTAGAATCACATTAACACATAAGTGATATACACAATATTGCTCAGCCAGGGCCTACCCCATTACTGAATACGTTTTAGCAGCTCTGTATTAGATTAGGCTAACAATAAGCTATAGATGAACCCACTGACATTACTTATTGTTTAAGAGAAGTCATCAACAATATCTGTAGACAGGGGCATTATCTTGCCATATAGTATTTCACCGTAGTTAAAAAAAGTATCTCACCACCTCATTATAGAGCTAAAATTAAATCAGTTTGGCATTAGCCGACAAGCTAGCAGATAGCAACCCTGTCAGCTACAATAACCTACGAGTCTTTTGTATGGGGGCCCAGTTAGCTCACAGCTAGCTAACAGCTAACTAGCTAGCTTTGACTCGTTAGCATCAAAGGTAGATTAGCCGTTACCTGAGTTTAGCAAATTAATTCCAAAGACAAATGTATAAAGATAATAGACGAAATAACACTCACTTTTTGTTGCAATCAAGTAATATCCCCGTGTAACTCCTTTCTCGGTAGGTCAGCGTCACCACCAGTGTATCGTTAACTATTTGATCGATAGTGACAGGTACCCGAGAGCCGGCCCGCAGCTCCTCGGCCACAGCCTCCATGTTTCCCGGCGTGAAGTGTCCGGCTCGGCGGTGCTCGATCCCGGCCAAGGGAGCCACGGTCGCGTCGGCTAAAGATCCGTCTCCCTTTCGCTATTGGAGCAGGAGGCTACACCAGGGCATAAAATGACGCCATCACCCCCACCAAGTCAATTACAACAGTACTGCCACCGCTGACATCACGCTCCCTGTGCTAGAGGAGCAAAAATCTCTCAAGACAAGGCCTACCCTCCCTCTGTCTTACTTTGACTTGTTTGATGCCATTCCTGAGTACGGACTTAAAGCTCAGGGATGCCCCCGTTTTCATTCCGGACTTACTCTACCATTATGCTGGAAAACGGATAAAGCATGGATGCATTTCTCATGTGTTTTAAACGTGAAACCTGACAAATGTTAGATAAATATGACCTCTACGTAACAGCCATCAATCTCAGATACAATTACTTACACTTTCACAACAGCATTAAAAGTGCTATTTGCTAAAACACCATTTAAATCCTTCAATCTGGCACAATACAAGAAATGTACTTCACTACAAATCCACCCACTATTAATTTGAATTCTATAATTTATGTCAGCCTAAAAAGGTGGGTCAATACTAATTTAAAAATAAATAATTTTAGTTCAGGTTCACCTTTATTTACTATTTCTAATTCATCCTGCTTATATTTTAAGCCTCATTTGATGGACATTAAGTGATGGTAATTCAGGTTTTTATATATGATGCTATTATGTCTGGTGAGTCAGTGTAACATTTAACAACTGAATAGTTCATTTCACACAGTAAAAGCATGACATTACCAGAGAGACTTTGCGTATTTGATAAACTAAATGATGATAAGGTAAGTAAATGGGAAATATGAGTCATTTCTGTACTGGGTAAATGTCTTGTGTGGAGAGGTTGTCTCATGTAAGTCTAAGAACATTTCAAAACACTCACTTGCCCCGAAACAGCACTGTGATTTTTATTTTTATGACATGAGCATTACAATGGCCATCCATTGAAGTATTAGTCTTCACAGTGGATTCTGAGTATGAATTCAAAACCACACAACTCAAAGAGACGTCACAATCCCCGTCACTTGTCAAAGAAACTCGGCCAGGTGTCTGCAGAGAAGAGAGTAAAGCAATTTCCGATATCCCTTCCCCGATTTCTCGTCCTCTCTAAAAGCCGAGCCTGAAGCTTCCTTATCTGTCATTCAGAGTTGGGAGAAACACAGCCAAACAAAAAACAAATTCAGATCAATGACCAATAAAGTTTCATACAGATGAGTTGTGTGAATAATGAAGTAAAGGCCTGACCTCCTCCACATCTTGTTCTGCCGCTGCCATATGCTCACCAGTCGTGCCACTGGGATTCCTGCGATTCTCATGTATCTTTTCAACACGGGCACGAATCTTCCGCTCCAGCTCCCGGGCTGATCTGTACAGCCACACAGGTCAAAGGTCAAAATTTCATTTGGAAATACTGAATATTGAGATGCCTAACTATAGCCAGAGGTTTTACAGCCTTTATGTCTGGTCACCAGCTAATTAAAAATGCAAGCCTGTGTGTGTGTGTGTGTGTGTGTGTGTGTGTGTGTGTGGCTGTTTTTCCTCATTTAGGATTTAGTCTAACAATGAAAACAGAAAAGTCTAAGATGTATTATCTAATCTGGTGTTTATGATTTTGGGAATTATCTTGCTCAAGGAGAACAAAAGAAACTGCTGATGCTCTAAGGTGGCTGTGCAGTCTTTCTTTGTCCACTAGGTGTCTGTAGCTTTCCATCTGCACTGCTCACTGTTGGAGATAATGCAAAATGCCATTTGGTGGCTACTTGTTGTCTCTGTACTCCTATGGCTCAACATGTTCTGTATCTCTGTTTAAATTGTACACACCAAATGCCCAAAAATATAAGTACAAACCATTATGCCTTATTTATTTTCTTTTTTAAATCTGCATGCAGCACGAAGGAGGTAATGGAGACAAACAGAAGCATTTATGTTTAAGGGAGGGGTTTTTAAACTCTGATATGTTTGTTCAATCAAGGCTGCGACTGAATAGCAGGAAGATGTCCCAATTTTTTTGTACACACAGTGTCATTCAACAAAGAAAATAAAACATTCCTGGCAATGTAGTAGGTCTGATTCTGTTTATAACATTGGTTCATGTCTCAAGTTGTTGTGTTCTACCTATGTCGTCTTTGGTGGTCAGTATTTTGTTCAACCAGATTTACCTGGACGCCTCACAATCTGTGATGGACAAGCTGGACGTCTGACTCTGACGAGTGTCACTGCTGTCCTCCACACTAGGTTTTGAATCTGTTTCAGCTTCCTGTAACAGAGGGCAGGTTGTGTTGAGTATCTTGTTCTAGAGTGCAGAGCTTGTGTATATATAGGATGATACAGCTGCTGCAACACACCCTACAACCACAGCCCACAGCTGCAGCTGTACAGCAGCCTCATTGTGTCAAAGTACCCCAAATTTTACTGTATATTTCAGTAAATATTTGCCCTGATGTTGCGGCTTAAATGTAAATATTATAAGCTACAGTTCAGCTGTATGCGTGGAAATGCTGCTGAATTACTCAAAACCATCCATCTGCATCGTGCTTGCCTGCATGTATACATCTGCTTTGATGGTCATATGTTGCTGCTGCGCGATCATTGATGTGGCACACTCCATCTCCATCAGAAGCACTGCCATCTGTTGCTGCCTTCAACTGCACTGTCCCCCATAACATTATAAAGAATCACTAACTCTATTGATGCTACCACCTGAAAACTCATAAACTACCCTGAAAATGTTATATCATATTTATTGTTACAGTCCGCCACCCATTATGACAAAGGTGGTGCTCTACTGCCCCCTTGTGGTTGACAGGTTTTCAGGTGGTAATTTCAGTGATGTACTCCAACACATACCTGTTTTTTTTTTCTTTGTTCTGCACGCTTCTTCTGCTCAGACATCTTCTTCCCTTGTTTGATCATGGCTTGTGCGCGCCACTTCCGAAGAGCCTCTTGGTTTCTGTGGGAGAGCCGGATAACTATGTAATGATCTGTGTCAAGGAAAATAGTCCTTGGGCTATTGTTTTTAAATGGTTGCAAAGAGGGTTGTAAACATGGACTACTCTTTAAATCTTTACATGGTGGACATAGTATGGATTCCCTACTGTTGGTCACTTGGGCAAATGGCATGAAATAAAATTCCATCTTATCTGTGCTATTACCTGGCCTCAATATTCTATACAAGCCATCGAATATAATTTCATGCTCAAAATGTGGTGCAAATGGATAATAAACAGGGCATTTTTTAACACTGAACTCAAACTCTTATACTAGAAATTAACTTACATCTGTCTCTTCTCTTCTGGCATCTTCCAGTGCTGTGTCTCAAACAGGGGGAGCTCAGGAATTATGCCGGCCTTGGTAGTTGCCTTTTTTCTGACAAGTAAATTGAAACAAAATGCTTTAGTTTTATTGCTCTCCCGAGCTCTGAGTCCCAGTGGAGACAGCCTGGGAGATTTTTATCACTTGGTCTCCTCTGCAGAGAATGTCATTAAAAAGTGTTTTGCTATCCTTTTCCAAGGCACCATGCCATACACAACTCCAAACCTCAGCACAAAAGTTATCTATTGAAACAAAACAAATTCACCTTCTCTGTCCTCCCATTAGATAGCAAACAACACTTTCAAACTTCATAGCACAGTATACCTGAGCAGGTGAAAATGATTTATGCCCAATGGATATTTTCTGCCTGGATATATTGTATCACAACAATGGCAGGAGTTATTATGCTTATGCATATTTGCTTTCTGGCAGAGAGATGTGAGGATCAATACCAAACTCATTTCTGTCCGTTCAATATTAAACTAAAGCCTGCAGCCAGTTAGCTTAGCATGAAGACTGGATACAGCTAACCAAGCAATTTTCACAAGTAACAAAATCCCAATCACAGCACCTCTGAAGCTCACATGTTAAAGGAATTCTTCCCACACAAAATGACCCTTTGTACATCAATTACTTACTATGTGTTGCCTTGAATTTGTGGGGAGAACTTAGTTTTTCTGGCATGCCTTAACGGTGAACAAAGAATCCAAAAACAGCAAATATTCTTCATGAATAAAAGTGAACGGGGACCAGGATTAACGACAGAAAAACTACATCAAAACGTGCATTTACAAACCCTCACACAACTAGCGCAGAATAATCCAAGTCTCATTTATCCAGTCATGTGCTGTGTACTTCCAAAACACATGCATTTTCGCCAAAACGTTGCGAGTTAAAACATGTCAGTATAAAGTGTCATGCACGGCTGAGTAGCGTGCCTGGACACACGTGCGTTTAAACTCTCCTGCGGGGCTCATACATGTGTGTGTGCATGTTCAGGCACGTTACTCATAGGCAGAAGTGTTTGATATTGTAATGTTGTAGCAAAAATGCATGTGACTGGGAAGAACTGAGCATACGACTGGATAAATGAGACTTGGATATTACTGCGGAGGGGTATTCCAGAAAGCGGGTTTAGTGAAAACTCTGAGTATGTTAACCCTGAAATGAGGGAAACTCTGGGTTTTCAGTTCCAGAAAGAGAGGTAAATCAAACTTTGAGTCAATCACCATGGCAACTGAGTCTGTGAACCTAACCTGCTCGCTGGCAGGTTTTCTTCAATAAACCCTGAGTTTTTCTCTGTCTCCTCCCTCTTACACGCTGTTTCATTTCCTCATTCTTTCACTCCGTGTCAAAGCTTGTATCGAAACGCATTAATTAGCGGAGATTTACCGTCTGTCACAGTCTAAATCCTGCTGGATATTAGTTTGTTACTCAGGTCTGTCTTAAGTTACTGAATTTATGCACATCAATCATTTCTTTGGACCTCAGCTTTTGTCTTTAGAATTAAACCTCTGTCCTTTATATATTTATTATTTTTTATAACACTGTGCACAAGATCAGACTGTCAGTCTGTTAGAGCAGCTCCGAACACGTAGTATCAATGACTAATGATCTCTATCACTGATGTCATTGGTCGCACTGATGGAACATAATTCCTATAGCCTAATATTGGGGATTATATGTTAATATTTCTGAGTGAGCAATGGTGCAGCATTTCAGTGTCTTTAAATTTACTACATTTGTAGCTGAAATAAAGTCACTGAATGCTGTTGAGTCAAGATACAAATAGATGTCCAACATTTTAAAATCTACTGTATTTTAACCTCAACGTTTTTTCAAGTGCAAATCACCAAACATATTATTACTGGGTCAGACTGTGAGTTTACAGTCATGTCTTTATGTCTTTGATCTATAGCCTAGCCTATATGTTTTAAATCTTACTATTTTTCAGTTGCTGCCTTCTGTGTTTTTCCCCATCAGTCAGATTCCACCACTTTATCTTCATTAAGGAAATTTAAGTCTGATAAATGATGAATAAACAGACAACACTGAATAAAACTTTTTTATTAACTTTATGGTTAACTTATTTACACTTTCCTCGCTCTGACTCAGGCTCTTCTTTTAAAGATAAACGTGCACCGTCTGCTACACATGCATTAATATCTCTACATCCACTGGATTAAAATGGAGGCGCTGTCATTAATTACCTGTTGCCATGGTGAATCGTGGAGTCGGAACTCCATTGATGATGGCTTTTTATTGTCGGCTTAACTCAGAGTGAACATACTCAGAGTTGACTGAACTAACTCAGATCAGCTGTTCTGGAACCGGTAACTCAGAGTTTCCCATCTCAGGGTAAATCAACTCAGAGTTCAGGGTTAGACTCAGAGTTTGTTTAACCTCCTACCTGGAATACCCCTCAGGAGTTGTGTGAGAGTTTGTAAACAGATGTTTTGAAGTAGTTTTGCTGTAGTTAAACATGGACGCCTATGACTTCAATTCATGACGAATGTTCCCCTTTTTTGGATTCTCCGTTCACTATGGAGCCATGCAAGAAAATTCAAGGTAACATCCATGCATAAGTAATTGATATACAAATGGTCATTTTGCAGGTGAGGTATTCCTTTAACTTGTCATATCTCATTTGTCCAATCTGTCTATAAACAAAAGTGTAAAAATGACAATTTGTTGTCTTACAGGAGTGATATGTGACTATATCTCAGCCAGGACCAGTTGTCAGGCCACCAGCATGGACTCCAGATAGTTACTGGTCGCAGCCAAGAAATTGTCTGGCACATAAGATAAGAAATAAATAAATAAAACAAAATTGTGGATTGCCATTTTTACACTTATGTTTTTGTATGAAATAAACAAACAAGATATAATTAATTAATCAGTGAGCTTTAGAGGTGCTAGTACATCATGTTTCCAGTCTGTATGCTAAGCTAAGCTAACCATATCCTGGCTGTTGCTTTATATTTAATGCACACATACAAGACTGGCATCAATCTTCTCTGCTAACTCTTGGAAAAAAGCCAATAAGCATACATCCCAAAATGTCGAACTGTAACAGAGGAAAAGCAATGTCACTTAAAAAACATCTTATTCCTTTCACCCACACACAAAAGACTTACCTTTTAGTAACAGAAGGAAGACGTGACTTCGTGTTTCTGTCACCCTGCCCTGTGGAGCCCAGCTCAGCTTTGTCCAGCAGGCTCATCTTGTGTTTGAGTTCCCTAAACTTCTGCAGCTCGTCCTCATCCACCGACTCATCCTCCACACTGGACCCCATCAGCTCTGACAGCTGGAGCTTCTCCACCGCTGGCAACTCTACCAACAAAACAACCATGGCAGCTACAAGTATAATGTGGGGGCAGCCAGTGCTGGCAACAATCATTGTTGGCTACAGCTACGGTGGCTGATAAAAAGCACATGATGAATCAAGAATTAGTGATAGAATACGGAGTACTTTTCAAACTGCAGCAAAGATGTGCCAACATTTTACCAACAAATTCACATTACTAATAATACAAGGTGAAACGTTCACCTCTTACTGCAGAGCTGAAAATATGGCAAGTTTTTCAGAGTTATAAAAATAAGGAGCTGAATGTAACTTTTACCCACATGTAGGATAATAAGACTCAGGCTAAATATTCCATGTTATCGCAGCTGAAAAGGGCAGGTGACAATGCAGTATGTAAATGAATGGTGTATATCCAAATCTGCTAAACTTATACACTGCGCCAGTTAAAAGAAAGGAGATTTCCCCCTGGAGACTTGGAGCCCTGTCTTCATTATAACCTTGTAGGCAGGGAGATAAATGGTTTGATTGAGGGGTTTGGCTCTGCTCATTGTGCAGCAGCAGCCTCTCCTGTGGAGGGCTGTCTTGGGCTTCTCACAGTGATTACCTCCAGACAGTGCTTAGTGACAGAGAGCTCCTGTTTAGAGCCCACAGGTTATCGATCATTTTCATCCGGCTAAAAATATTACAGCGCTGGAACAGGGGGAGGAAAAGAGTCAGCCGAGTGGCACGTGCTGTCTCCAAGGGAACAGAAGTCACACCAGTGAAGTGGTACCAGGGCAAGGAGCTATTTTTGTGGCCAGCCGTCCTATCTTTGACAAAAAGAGCAGATGGCTGGAATGCACGTGCATACTGAACACCTTGCTGCTGCACTGTTCAAAGTTAAGGTGCCTTTGATTCACCTGGGGGGCTCTTTCCCATGCTAACTGGCCGCTTAGCCATCGCAGTCCTGAGGTACTGGAGGATGCTCTGCAGCCCCTGGCTCACAATGTCTTGTGGAGGGAAAATGATGGGGCAGTTCCTCAGGTTTAGGCCTTTGAGGGTAATTACATTTCCTGGGGAAAAAAAGACAAATAAAGAATCCCTTAGAACTATATTTACAGGCTATACTTTTTGCGTTTAGCAGACACTCACTGAAATTGATTTACAATAAGTGCATCCTACACACTGTACACTTCCTTAGTTACCAACGTAATTTACTGAGCAGGGAAGCAACAGTCTATGAGCAACAGTATGAGTGACAACAGCTAAAAGGAATGCAAAATATGCGACACCCTTTTGTGTGTTTTTTCTATTAATACCTTAGTTATTCAGTGCAAGTAATCCCATTCTAAATTGCTGCAAGTGAGGCTTAGTGAAACTGATGAAACAGGAAGACAGCTTGTTATCTGAAAGAACAGAGACATTGATCGTTGGTAAAGGTGACTGAGCTCAACTCACCCAACTCTGGTGGAAGTTCTGAGATTGGATTTCCTTCCAGAAGTACTGTTCTCAGAGATCTATATTAAAGAAAATCACAGATACATGATTGCAAGGGCTGTGTAGCAACACATGTTTAGTCCTGAAGTGTACACGAGGATATTGAACAAAAAGTGAGAAAGAATCTTTTTTTTTGACACACGTTGGAATCCTAAATTTAGTTTTTGGACCATATGCTACTAAACAAAACTCTAAAATAGAAAAATTCCTATCTAAAGCTGTTCTGAAATGTGACAAAGAGGAAACTACTCCCATGGTGGCCGAAAGGATTGGAATCATTCAGAATATATTTCAAAGAACAGTTGCATAAGTAACCTACCTGTGCAAGCCAATTTGGGCGGGTAGTGATGTAATTTGGTTATTTCTGAGGTCCAGCCACAGAAGGTTTGGCAAGCTGATGAACACTGAATCTGGGATACTGGATATCTGGTTGCCTTCAAGATATAAATACTGGAAACGATACAATGAGCAGTCAGAATTAATAGAACAAATGCAAAAGAACAAATTGTACTAAGATATAAAATTGTTGGAATAAAGTTTGTGATTTTTGTTGTTGTTGTTGCTTGAAAACCACAGCCGCATTAAGAAACTAGGTGGATAGAGGCTGACAAATGCACGTTGAGTCCAAACTGACCTTTAGTGAGCTATTTTTCAAAATACTTTCTGGAACACGTTTCAGCTGAGTTCTGCTCAGATATAATGTCTCTGCTGAATAAGATTCAGGGAGCTCCTGAGGCTCAGCATCTTCAGGCAGAATGTGGGGGGTCTGTGGTTTGTCAGCACTGTCCCCTAACACAAAACTCAGCTGCAGGTCAGGAACCTCCTCCCCCTCCTCTAGGGATGACATGGTAGAAGTGATGATGCTGAGATGTTTGGTGTCCACAGACCACTGCTCATGGTGTTCAAGTCCTTGTGTCTGAAAATGAGAAAGTGTGTATCACATTCAATGGGCAGGTTTCGTCGAAACATCAGAAGAGTATTTTTACTTGCTAGCTATTCATTCATTCATTGCTGCTGCCTAACTTTAGCTAGCATTAGCAAACAGTTCAATTATTGTACAACTTCCGTATTAACGTTACCTGGAATATGAATAAACATACTCGTAGTCTGTGAACTCGTCTCGGTGTCCTCTTCAAGTTAACACTTTATTTAAACGGTAAAAATATACCCTGGGAAAATGTCATGCTAACTTCTATATATCGCCTCACGAGTTATACGTCGTTACCATGGCAACGAGGTCAACACAAACTACGGCAACTGTCCACGTGCAAACAAGGCGAACTGCATCCATAATGTATCAACCAGGGATTTTTTTTAAAATACTGTGTAAATGTGAGCAGGTCACATGCCACATTCAACGCCTTTATATATTTTACACTTTTTAACATGCAGTGTTGTAACAGAGCTGATAAACCCAGTGAGCATGTGTATTGCAGACAAAGTGTTAAATCCTTTTTCCCTCTCAGTGGTTCGGCACCACCCATCCATCTCCTAATGAGATTGTAGAATAATTCACTGAGGTTCATGACTGACGGAAAGCAGCATCAGTTTCCTGCTGGTAACAAGCGACGAAAGCCCCCCCAGTTTCTCCCGAGCTATCCTGGCTTCACCTACAGAGGCTGGTCTTTATGTGTTGATATGCATGACAGTCTGTGATACAGGGCTACGTCGACTACAGTCACTGGCCAGCAACTGTCACACTACTCTCACAACTATCAAGGTAGTCAGAATACCAGCGGGCAACTTCCGGTTAAAAAGTTCACCATAAAAGTCCCCTGGGCAATAGTTGGAAGTAAAGGAACGCGGATTAGATGCACTGTAGAAATTGTGAAATATATAAAACCTTTTTTTTTTGTTCGACTAAAGGCTTTTATTTACACGCTTTATATGCTAGAGTCCATAGAGGAAAACAGTTATTTATTCTGAATCATAATCATTCACTTGCATGTATTGTTTGTAGGGCTGCAACTAATGATTATTTTCATTGTCTATTAATCAATCTGTGGATTATTTGCTTGATTAATCGATTAGTTGTTTGGTTGATAAAATGTCAGAAAATGGTGAAATGAAATGAAATGAAATGGTGAAAAAGGTCTATCAGTGTTTCCCAAAGCCCAAGAGGACGTCTGCAAGTGTCTTTTTTTTTGGTCCACATCCTGAAGATATTAAATTTACTGTCATAGAGGAGTTAAAAACAGAAAAAAAATGACATTTAAGAGGCTAAAATGAGAGAATTTTCCCCTTTAAAAGTTACTCACACCGATTAATTGATTATTAAATTAGTTGGAAATTGATTAAATAGATGACAACTAATCAAATAATTGTTGCAGCTCTAACAGTTTGTCAAACTGCTTATAATCACAGATACATTCATTTTTGTACATTAGATTGCTTGGTTATCGATATGAAGGAAATTGACTCAACTGGACTTAACTGTTTTAATGTAAATTAATGTAACAAATAAATTAATATATAATCACACTGTACCATTGAATTCATACATAATGAATGTAAATTCTCCGACTGGGGCGATTTTAAGCGACTGCAGTGCCTCTGCAATATTTATAGGCTTTTATTTTTAAGGCACCGTTGCATGACTTCCTGTTTCCGTTCAGCTAACTATGGCTAACTCGACGCAGCATTTACTCTCAGCCCCGACAAAACAGAAGTCTCTCGGTTTGGCTGGCAGGCTACGGAAGACAACTGAACACTACCAGTACCGAGTGATTATATTAACCTCCAACTGTAACAAACCGACTAGTCTTTGTTTGAAAAATATTTCACAGTCCGTCGGGACTTGATACACTCGCTCCCGCCTGGTTTAGACAGACTTAAAGTCGCGGCGCTCAAATTTCGGCTGAATAAATATCGGATAAAAAAAGCGAAATAACGGACACGGTTTGGGTGAGATGTACGGTTAGTATTACTGTGTTTTGAGGAGGGTGTCCAACACAGAGCTGTAGTTTCTCCTCAAGAGGCGAGGAATGCAATCTGAGCATCAATGTTTCACTGGGGCAAGTGGAAGAAGAGGATGGGAGCCAATAGTTCTTCAAAGAGACCAGTGTTCGATGAAAAGGAAGATGGTAAGTGGTGGAAAAGTAAAGCAAGGGTTCCCTTTAAACCCTGTCAAAAATAACACTACTTTAGAAGTACAGGTTTGTTTGTTAATAATCAATGTATAGTGTCAATTTAGTACTATTTCTCCAGTTAGCACTAGCCTGTAATGTTGCCAAAGAGTTGTGCTGTGATAGTGAAGCTAAGTTGTCAAAGTTTCTGACAGGAATTTAAATGTTGTCAGAAGAAAACTGTTGCTGTTGAGACTGCTGGGGTTGATCCTAAGCGACGAGGAAGAGTGTGTTGCCTACATTTAACAAAGGCTGCTTTTGTGCTTTGGGAAATGTTGGAGGCGATGATAACAGAAGCTAAGTAACCTTAAATTTGTATATTCATCACACACAATAACGCCCACACAACGTGCACTGACAGCACACAAAGTTTCCACTTCACATTAGCCCATGTACAGATCAAATGAGAGACACAAAGTGCAGCATTCCCACTCAGTCACAGCAGGAATATCTGCTGCTCACTGTGAGAAAATACGTTAATGCCTGAATGAACTCTTTGAAATGAGGACTATTTGAAGACAGATAGTTAATTGCATAATTAAGTCAAGATTAGTGTCATGCATGGAAGTAATGTTAATTCATGATATCTTGTCAGTGTATGGGAAATAAGCTTCTTGGAAGTGCACCCCAGTAAGCCCAGCACTGAATCACTGAATCTCAGAAATCCAGTGTTGGTACAGAGCTCTCATCAATGTGCTGGCCAAGTTACAAGCAAACTTGAGTAAATTAGGTCGTTTCACTGCAGGGATGTGGTCATATGGCCTCCGTGTGTGTGTGTATGTGTGTTTCTACATACAAAGAATAGCCTTGAGGAAAAGTGTCTAGCTCTAATTCAGATTGCTATCAAAGTGAGTAACTGTTGAAAAGAATAGGAGTGGCTCTACAGCCTTTAGTGGTATGGTCTCACCCTTACAGCACTTGATCAAAGCCCATATTGGTTAGAGAGATGTTCTTGGCCAAGCTGTACAAATTTCTGTTTTTATAGCTGCTCTGTGTAATTAAAGGAGAAGCCTTGAAGCACAGGGCTGAACCTCTCAAGGCTGAGATGGTGTGTTTCCCCGCTCTGTGCTGAATCTGAAGAGAGACGGCCTGTACCATGCTTATAATCAGACAGAAGTCAATTTCCATACGCTCCTATCATCAATATGAAGCAGGTGCCACTTATGCATGACCTACAAAAACTAATATCAGCTTCAATTTCAATTTCCATCCTCTGTCAAGAGCCAGTGCAGTTGCATTATCAGCATGGCCTTCAGACCTGCCTCTATCATGCTGCATAGATGCATAGATTGACTGTTCCTTGGTGCAAAGGTGTGTTTGATGTATTTATGCAATGATGTTATTACAAGGATGTATTATTAAGCGTGTCCCTTTCTGCAGCAATGAAACTCTTTATTTCCTGCACACAGTGAACAGTAGGCATGGAGTAAAGCGAGTGGAGGGCACATGTATTCAAAAGAGACAACTGTTAATGTCAGGTGGATCACCTTGAACACTTGTGAAGCGCCGATTCTGCATAGTTTAAAGTCTTTGTAAAGCAGCTGCTTCTCTGTTACATTGTTCCATCTTTCAAAGCGCTGCCTACCGCTGATAACAGTCTGAGCAAACCACGGTGCTCTGCATAGTGGATGCTGACTTCGACTCTAGATATCTCTTGCTGCCTGTCAGGTCTCTTAGAAACAGTATCTGTTGGCTTCTTGGAAAACAGCATATGGCCTACATTAGGCAGTAATATTAGAGCTGCGTTTGTCTCAAAAGGCTGCAAACATAATCAAGTGGTCAGGTTGATGTCCAAGCGTAGCTGCCAAAAGGGCTTTTTTGGCAGATAGTTTGATTAGCAAAGGAAAGCTGTGGAATTGATTGAGGTGCACATCCTGCTAGTTTCTGCATTGCTTTTCTCACTGAAACTCTTTGACAACAGCATTCACGCCAGTCTGGTCTATTAGACACTTTAGCATGGCTGCTATCATCATTTGTGAGAAGTCTCTTCTTTTTCTCTTTTGGCTGCTAAATGGCTGCTGAGCAGAGCTTGTTAAATTTCAGAAGTGCTGGACTGTTTCTAAGCCAGACAGGCAACCAACGAAGACTGTATGAAGTCACTGCATCCAGCCAAGACATAGATCAACACAACATGGTCTTTTTATAATTCAGTTTTTGTATGGATCAAACAAATAAAATATATTGAGATATCTGTGAGCTTTAGAGGTACATGCAGGTCGATTTTGTTACCTTCGGACAGAGCCAGGTTAGTTGTTTCTCCCCGTTTGAGTGTTTGCTCTAAGTTTTGCTTACTCGACAATTTGAGGGGGAACGTAATCTTTCATGTCAGCAATATGACCATAATGCTTTCCCCTTGTTGACCTGCCATCCCTCTCCTACCCCTCAGTCAGCACCCAGATGCCTACTAAAACCCCGACCTATGACTAAAAAATTATTGAAAATGTATAACTGGTTTAGCAGACCAGAAAAATCACACACCAAGTGCATTTGTTAAATCATCTCACATAACGTTACTCAGCTAATCAAATCTGTGCATTACAATAAGCATTGGGACTTAAGTGTGTGAGAGACACACACAGGGTAGAGACAACAGTCGGGAAAATAGGAGAATCAAAGAAAAGTCATTTAACATGGCTTGTTCTAAAGAGCAAAACATAGAGCTTTGAATTGAGAATGGACAGACTCTTAAATGTTCATTTTTTCTCAAAGACAGTTCAAAACCAGTGTGTCTCATCACATGTTCTGGCTGTTATTAAAAGCGGCACTGTACAGAGCCACTTGGAGACAAAGCACAGAGCATTCTCTGAGCAAACACGCCCACTCAGATCCTAACTGAGGGCACAGAAAATGAAATCTGTTATCAATCAATCAATTTATTTGTCACTTGAAATTATTCGAGGTACAACTTCAGTTAAATGGCACTGAATCATAATGCAAGCTAGACAGTAGACAGGGGCTGGGGGTCCGTCCTCCCTTGTAGAAATTCACGAATAACCTTCTGGATTTCCTTATCGGCAGTTGCTGGTAGCTATACCACACAGACACGAGAATGAGATTGATTAAAATGAAGATATAAAGCA